TTCTAGCTAAGGTACAACGCCTCTTGTCCGGTTACAAACTCGTGTAAACGCGCAGATCTATAAAAACATTGTTCAAGATCATGTGCCAATCATACAGAATTCAGGTTTCGATAGGTCTACCTTTATGCAAGATAATGCCCCATGTCACAAGGCAAAGGTGGTAATGAGTTATCTTAGCGAGCCAGATGTGGAAATTATGGATTGGCCACCGCAAAGTCCTGACTTAAATCCAATAGAAAATCTTTGGAAGACCTTAGGAGTGAAAGTTATGGAAAGAAATCCCACTAACACGGAGGATTTGTGGGTGAAGCTTCAAGAAGAATGGTCTAAAATTAGTATCGAGGATTGTCAAGAACTGATTCGTTCTTGCAGTCGAAGATGTGCAGCTGTCATTGAGAGCAAGGGCTCATTTACTAAATATTGATTGTACATGTATTTTTATTGTTTTTTTGCCGTTTAAATTGTTTTTCTCAATTTTGTCCCTTACTTTTGGACGTTCCAAATTTGAAAATAAATAAATAATTGTTATAATTCTTTTCTATCCTTTGCAAATGATTCAAATTTTAGTATGTTATTATGGATGATAACGACTACCAGTTGTCAAAATTTCAGCTTTTCACAGTTGTTATTTCTAACAAATATTAGGTTTTAAAATTTTGTTCCAAAGTTTTGGATGCTACTGTATATATATATATATATATATATATATATATATATATATATATATATATATATATATATATATAAAATAGCTAAAGATGCCGGAAAAAAAGAAGATCGGCTTATTCTATCGCTTCAGGAAGTACCTGACTTCTAACCAAGATTTATTTGTCATATTAGACGGCATATTGCTGTCGTATCTGGCCTAGAACTACTCAATCCTATTTTTCCATCCTCGGTTTAAAAACGTCCAGGCGGTGTTGTAGGGGAAGACTTATTCTCCATTCGACAGCCTCATTCCCACAGACGCAACTCTATCACTATTTCCATGGGAAATGTTCAACTGAGAGCTCCATTTTTTAGTTCCACCAGTTTAGACATTTACAGCCGCGTCAGGGAGTCGTATAACAATCATTTCCTTTGTATTCCAAATATAAGAAGAAAGTTTCGCGCAGACAACATTTTTCCAATACCTGTCACTTTTTGGAAAACTCTCGCATAGATGCTTCCCTAAACACTACAATCCTAAACTTTTCAAGAGTCAATTTGTCAATCTCCCTCAGCCTCGTGATATTCATTTCGTATCATCTCCTCTTTCATTCATATAACGTAGTACACGTCACTTTCATCAAAACATTTTAACAGCAGCCCTCTCAATGGGTGGTTCTCTGGTTTAGGGCTATATCACGTTGAAACACCGATTATCTTACGATCATTGGAGTTAAGCAACGTCTAGCCGGGTTAGTAATTAGATGGTGAGCGCTTGGGAATATCAGGAGCTGTAAGCTTGGATGTTTGTGTGCTAATTGGAAGTCAGAGAGCTGAGTTCCAATTCCAGTTGAGTTCGTTATATTCACTCACGCAGTATGAAAGATATCAAGTACCTCTTCTCCCTGTAGCTATGAGTCAATTAGTAGGGTCTATAACAGTAAATCATGATTATCTTTAAAAATTCTTACAATCTAAATTATTAAAGTATTTTAGATTGTAAGAATTTTTGAAGATAATAATTATGGCTTTAAATAACCTGCAAAAGTTTGTTAAGCCGTAAAAACAAATCAGTCAATCAAATTGACTGGTTCTTGAACCTTGTATTTTCTGAATTTTAGTACAAAAAATAAAGAATACTATTGAAAAATACTAATTATCACTTTTACATTTCCATCTACTACAGAGATTAGAGACAGGGATAGACATTTAGGATTATCTCTCAAATCCGATAGTAAAACGCTTGTCTAAATGGTATTATATATGCATATGAAATACCAACAAATGTTCTGAAAAATTTTAATTATCCTTTCTAAGTTTATCATATATATATATATATCCTGAAGTGAATTCATTGGAAGGAGGCGATAGAAACTAAGTACAGTTTCCTGGTCAAATTCCCAGGATTTTTTTTGTTTATCATTTTAAGTATACTAATTATCGTTGACTCTGAATAGTTTTACAAAGCTCTTGCTTCAAATAAATTAATTTAAAAGATAAATCTACTTTTCCGCTAATGTAAGTAATTCTGAATATTACAATAATATAAATGCCTAAAGTTTCAGTCAGTTAGATACCATGCGTGATACAGGCTTAGGCAACATAAGTCTTTCGATACATGACTGACGAGGCAGACTTTTTTCCGGCAGTAGGTTGCCATTTCTTTCTACGGTAAACCAGTTGCCATCCAAAGCTATAGATCCCGATCTGTCCTGTTATTTACCCATAACTGGGGGGGGGGAGAAGAAGAGGATTGATACCTTTCCTTAGGGTATTAGCACGTAAGTGAATGTAATGAATCCGACTGGAATTCAAACTCAGCTCTCCTACTCGTCAATCCGAGCCACTATGCATTACTCCACCTAAAGTTTACTAAACTATAAACAGAAGGATTTACTATATTTAAGATTTTTATGCAAAATTCTTCATAGATGATGAAAAATTCCCAAAAATTAATAAAAACAAACTTTTATCGTTAAAATCTTTACGCTATTATTAAGAGGAAAAACAATTTTATTATATAAAAATTATTTTAAACAATCTTTTTTTAGAACCTTCGAAATTTTGGTTAAAAATGTTTTTCTGGCATCAACGGGTGACCATAAATTTATACGGTAAATCAGAGAGTCTTTTTGCGGTAAAAAAAAAACACATTGAGACGTCAGATTTTAATGAAACTTTCAGGACTTATTCACAAACGAATGAAATTATTCTTGAAATATGCCATTTTCAAAAAATATTTTAAAATGTTTTATTTTATATTTCTCAGCCTACATTTATTTAATTCTATGAAATTTCGATAATTTTTTTTTTTTTAGATGTTAATGTTTATACTAATTATAAGGAGAAGTCTTCGGAGAATTTAAATCATCAAAATTATTTGCTCAAGAGGGCTCCCAGAACAACATGGATAAAATGCAGTAAAACTAGGAGATTATTTAATTACGGATGTTTTTAATGCTTTTATGTATAAAATATATTATGGACATTGTGTCTTAAGAAAAATTATGTAATAAATGTATTTTTATTTATAATTATATGTGAATAAACGTACTGATTATTTTTTGTAAATACAGACATCCATACTCGATATTATCGGATAATAGAAATGGCAACTATAATAAATTTATAATTTATTGGTAACTTCCTAACACTTCCTCAATATGCGTCTTCGCTAGTAAGTTTATAAAAGCGAAAGTACATAAAATTCACTAAAATATTAGAATGCTTAATTTTTTTCTAATTTTTAAGACTACTTAATAAAAGAATTACCGAATTGATTGTTAAGACTATTAATTAAAAAATTATTTAAAAAGGCGTTTACCTTGTATCCGTCATCTAATTTTATTACATTTATTCCCCCTTAAATAAATCTCCTGAACATCATATATATATATATATATATATATATATATATATATATATATATATATATATATATATATATATATATATAATATATATATCTATATATATATAGAGAGAGAGGGGGGGCAACATATGTTATAAATATATGTCCAGACGAGACATTATCAGAAAATAGTAGTGGTTACTAATAAAGTTAAAATTTATTGGTAATTATTTAACATTTCCTCAACAAATGTCTTCGCTAATTAGACTATAAAGACGAAATACGTAAAATTTAATAGTAGAACGCTTAGAATATTTTCCTAAATTTTAAGATTATTGGATAGTTCAAAAAATATATATGAAAAAGACGTTCACGTTGTTTTCGTTAAGTAATTATCTCTCACTTAAAAAAAAAATTTCAAGCATAAAATCTGTCGAATAATGTCTCCACACCTTATTAGAACACACACGTCAGTGTTAAAAATGCTTTTCTGTGATGTTTTAAACTAAAAGTAATTGATATTAGTTTTAATTCAGTTTAATTAAACTTTAAATCAAGTAATCTCCCGGAAAGTATATTTTTTAGCAATTTTTCTGAAAAAAAATCATTCCAAACAATTTTAATTCGGTTTGAAATGGTGTATTTTGCTTGAAATAAAAGTAACATAAAAGCTACAAGAAAGATTTTTCATTTTTCAAATGTATTTAAACATAAGTATAAGTATAATTTTTAGATGTACTTATCTATCTATCTATCTATCTATCTATCTATCTATATATATATATATATATATATATATATATATATATATATATATATGTGTCTGTATGTGTGTGTGTCTGTATGTGTGTGTGTGTGTGTGTGTGTGTGTGTGTGTGTGAAAGAGAGTAAAAGTGGCAGGGAACGGATGAGACAGACAGAAAATACAGATATACTTACAAAACAATCTTAAATGTAAATATACATTTTAGAAAGTCTGTATTTCTCTCTCTCTCTCTCTATCTATCTCTCTCTCTCTCTCTCTATATATATATATATATATATATATATATATATATATATATATATATATGTATGTATGTATGTATGTATGTATGTATGCATGTGTGGATGTCTGTTAATATATATTTCAACAGAAAGCCAAGAGTGAAGCAAATAAAAGGAGATCGGAAACACCTGTTGGTCTGTGTATTAGCAACACAACAACGAAATGGCCAATATTAAGAGGCTGCTGTGAAAACAGATCGAAACGAAACACGAGTCTTTAATCCAAGACAAAGAATTCGGAAACGAAATATTCTTTTCTCTAAACTCTGTGTTTTTGTTTAAAGAGAAAAATAAATAAGTAAATGAGGATAAAAATGTATTTTTAATACAGAAATATAAGTACAACATTTGCCTCCTGACAAAAACATAAACTGTCATGCTCACGTTGAAGAGTATGCATGTATGTTTCATATGATTGTAGATGAACGAATTGCTCGGAAATGAGCGTGTTGATTTAAAAACGTGGAACAAGGAAAGAAGAAGATAACGAAACGAAAATTAAGGAATAAATAAATACACGGAGGAAAACGGTAAAAGTATCTGGATAGGATAATAGAAAACTTGAAATGAATAAAAATAAATGAAGAAAGACAAGAAGAGGAATATGGATATAAAATGAAAGGGAAGAAAAGGAAAGAAACTGAGTGAAAAAAGATGTAAGGAGATGGTAAGGAGATAAACGAAAATCAATATCTTCAAAACAAAACAAAAGGAAGGAAGGAAGGAAGGAAGGAAGGAAGGAAGGAAGGAAGGAAGGAAGGAAGGAAGGAAGACAAATATTCCCAAACAAAAGCAAGATGAAACGAAAGAAAAAATGTGAGAAAGAAATAATGAAAGATTTGTTAAGAAAAAAAAAGACAAAAAGCGTAAAGAATAAAGAACAAGAAAAAAAAAAGAGAAAAAGAAAGAGAAAAAAAAGATCACCAGAAAAAAAGCAAATAATAAAGGAAAGAAACATTTGGCAAAAACAACGATAACAATTCCCATCATATTGCATTCGTAAGGAGGAATTTCCATTCAGACAACTTCTTCCCAAAGATCGCTATTCTGTGGAACAGACTCCCAAAAGGATGCTTCCACGATTATTCATAACCTCTTCAAGCCTAGTGTTACATACACATCCTAATAAACTGCAATTCTTATCTCCTGCTCTTAGGATCATACAACAACCTCACTAACTTTGAGAGATTTTTGGACCTCGTATTGCGGGGAAATTAGTAAATATAAATATATATATATATACTTATAACCGTACTTCTTATATTTACAAATAAACCCTCTATCTCTGATATTGTACTCTCTTTCGGATAAATATAGCAAATTTTAAACAATAAATAAACCCTCTATCTCTGATATTGTACTCTCTTTCGGATAAATATAGCAAATTTTAAACAATATATATATATATATATATATATATATATATATATATTGCTTAAAATTTATATATATTTATCCGAAAGAGAGTACAATATCAGAGATAGAGGGTTTATTTGTAAATATAAGAAATATAAGAAGTACGGTTACTAGTAGTTTCTCGCCTTAAGCGATCATCAGACCATGTATTACTAATTTGTGTAGGTGTTTATGCATGGATTGACACATTTGTTTAAAACCAGAGTAACCCTTCACGCTGCCGAAGATCAAAGTGTCGCTTGTCGTCATTTCTGCCTATATGTGCGGTCTACAAATTTATTTATATTGTCAATCGTTGTTTTACAATCCAAAACAATTTTCCTTTTTAAGACATTAAAAGTAATAAAAAATAGAAAGTTGAGAGGAAACAAAATAATAAAATATGAATATGAATTTTCCTTTTTAGAGTTACTTTAAAAGGAATACGCTGATATATTTTTTGATTTTTCAGTGGAGTCATTACGGGTTACCATCAAATGGAATATCCCATTATCTGAAATAGATTAAGAAAGTTTTCAGACACATGACTAACAAATATATGACGTGACATTGTACTTTATATTACACTATAGGTTATTGTATGAATGTTCACGACAGTAGTAGTTGCGGGAAGAGAGCAAGTTTCGTCGACACTCCTAGTGATTTGCTATTTGTTTAACTGCTTTTTGAAATATTAACTTATTCAAACTTTCTAATTTCACTTAGATGCCCAATTATTATTCCAACCTCATCTAAGATCTCGCGAGACTTTCCCAAGTCCGCCATGTTCCACAATACTCTCGGTTTACTGTGTTGCGTAGCCGACTTACTGCGTTAGCCGTCTCGAACGCGCAATATTGGTAAACATTTTAGTTTTCGGTTTTTTAAGTAACTTAGTAAAAATTTGTTTTCATTTTGAGATAAGTTCTGATCGTTTATTATATATTTATAAACACAAAAGGAAAACTTATCTTAGACAACGCATTTCGTACTCTGAGAGACTTTATCAAGGTAAATGCATGGATTTAATTTTTTAATAAGTATTTATATACACGAGCAAAAATATTATTGGCTCTTCGAAATTTTTAAGTTTCGGAACGCTCATAAATATTCATAAGGTTAAGTGAAATGTCTGTGGGACACGAAATTATACAACCCATTATCTAATGAACGAAATTGAGTAAGTGATGCATTTGTTTTTTTTTTGTTTTTAAATTATTATTTAAATGATTATTTCAGTTTGGGATTAAGTTATGTGTTTTATATATTGAATAACATGAGGTTATGAATTTAACCTTTTTCTTTTAATTTTTTAACATTTTTCTAGTTATTTTTGTTGGCTTGGGATAGAAGTAATTCTTTAAGGAATACAGATATTTTTAAGAATTCCGGAACGCAGATTTATATTTTGATAAGATTCAATGGAGGCACTCTCAAGAATTACCCTTCTAAGTTACTTAATCTTTTAATAAGTGTGACATTCTTTAGATCAAAGTTGTGATTGACCTCATTCCTATGTATGAGTAATGTATTTGATAAATTGTTGTATATAAGATTTCTTTTATGTCCGTAGAAACATTTTTAAATTTAAGTTTTCTCAGTGTGTTCTGAAGAACAGTTCTGGCAATGTATTTTATATATACCTGTTTAAGAATTATTATTGTTATGGGTTAATTACCTAATTATCAAGAAATATATTCCTAGAGGAAGTCCAAGAATTCATCAACAGTTTCCTTGCTGCATGCAAAGATTTGGTCTTACCATGAGGATAAAGAAAACGGAGGTAATTCACTAGACGCCAAAGTAGTTCATCAATTCTCAGAGAATTCTTTACAGATTGATGGGGAGAACATGAAGTATGCGAAGTCATTTACATATTTAGGAAGTAAGATGAATGTAAATCCATCGCTTGATGATGAAATGATAAATCGGATCGTCAAAGCTACAAGTACATTATGGAAGCTTCTACACCGCCTATGAAATGAGAGAGGTATCAAATTGGACGCCAAAATATGGGTTTATAGATATATTTGTGCCAGAGTGATATCAGAAATTATCAAATCAGCCGTATTGACCGACTAAGAGACGAAAGAAAATGGCGAATAGCGTAAGGAAATATTCCTGTTGCTATGTCCCAAGATATTCGCTGTTGCTCAATATGAGGACTTGTATGATAATCACTAGCGGGATTGAAGTGTCACATACGACACAAGCATAAAAACTGAATGTGGTTGTCGAATCTTCATACGTAGAATTCGATGAGAGACTCCATTATATATATATATATATATATATATATATATATATATATATATATATATATATATATATATCCGAATGTAATGAGAACGAACATGATATAAATTCTAACGTTCAGAGCATTAATTCAAAAGAGGGCTCAGTACCAAGAGTAGAGCAATAATTATTCATTATAATTTTTACATACGGAAAAAAAAATTATCAACAAATACGATTGTCTTACTCTGTCACCCTCTCTCCTCTCCGCTCCTTCTCTTTTCTACCTTTTCTTTACCCTTCTCCGTTTCCTCTTAAGGTGTTTCTCCCTATGATTTTTTCCATAAGCGGCTTGCTTGTAAATAAAATTGTTTATAATCATTTTGGTTCACATCAGTCGAGATGCAGCCGCATCGAAACAAAAAATGCATCTTTGTAGTGAGTAAGTTGTTTTTTGTCCGTATGTAAAATTATATATATATATATATATATATATATATATATATATATATATATATATATAGTTACTGATACTATATATTTCAGATATATAAAGATTGCTATGGATCATAATTTATTATTTTTCAATAATTACTCTCTACGTTATAAAATAGTTATAGTTTCAAAAGAGAAACAAGTTTATTGTAAAGATGTTGAGTGTTGAGTGTTTAACCTTGGAAATTGCGTACAACTTGGCCAGAGACTGCAAAAAAATCGACATGCATGACATAGGGTAACTGTAAACAGAGTAACACTGTAAAAACGTAGTACATTAAAAACAATGGCTAAAGACAAAGAACAATAAAACTGCCATCTTTAAGTAAACATCACATAGAAGAAAGTATAACTTGGGTAAAGACTACATAACAAATGAGTCAACACTAATTTTCAGTGATGAATGTAGAGGGAGACTAGATGAAGCTGATACCAAGAAAAGAGAGTGAATCATTTGAAGAGTTGGCCAACATGATCTAAAGTGAGAAGGTGGAGTAATTGTAGTAAGATTATAGGTCAATCCACTGTTGATAATGCTGTCAAGATAAATGCAGAGAATTATTAACTCTTGCACAAAATATTTTTGATTGGTACAATTCATAATGAGGCAATAAAATCTTCCATTTTACAATGTTGAATATTAGCCATATTGACAAAGAAGTTCAAGTGACATCAATTAATGTAATGGTTTACAGCCTCCGTAGATATTAATCCAACAGAAAACCCGTGAATCATAATAACATCTTTTGTTATTATGTAAATGGGAAACAATATTCAAGAAAACATAACTAGAAACAATAAAATCTGTTATAACTAATGAAACAATAGAAAATTTAACAAAATCAATAAATGAAAGCTTAATAAATATTATAGAATGTCAAGGAGTTCCATAATAATTTGCATAATAATAAAATAATAATTTATTCAACTATATAAGCTATTGGGTTATTCAAATAAATGGTTTTGTTGTCTATACCTTTTGCATTTATTGACAATTCATTTATTTTGCACATTACGTAATAAACCGGTCGCCCATATAACCAGTTCATATTAATATTATTAATAAAAATCGATATTAAAAACTAAAATTCACAAGATATTTTGCTAAATATAAGTATTTCCTCACAAGTTACTAATAGACTTTAGTTAATACCAATTTTATTGTGAAAAAAAATGACTTGGAAAAATAAAATCTGACGACGTGTTGCTATCTATCACTTGTGTATCAAAGATATTTTCTCTTTTTAATCAACAGAGACATTCTAAGAAAGCTCTCGAGAACTTCTGTTTGTTTTTTAAGCTTACGTAATTTTCTCTATATAGTATCTTTCAATGATCTTAACTTTTTTTAAGGTTTCAAAGCCTTTAATTAAAAGCTAATTTCATGAAGCTACTGTAATTTACATATGGTATCTTTTGGTTATCCTGACTATTCGGAAGGTTTTTAAGTATCATAATCGCCAGCTGATACCCGTTTCAGTGAAACCAGATTAGGGCAATAAAACGTAAGCATTGTTTCATTTCCTTAAATTCTACGAGGAGATTCTTCTGCTTAAAGATCCATTTTAAACCAATGACTCAAAATTGCCAGAATCAATATGACATATAAAACTAGGCTTAGCGTACGTCCTTTTTTTTTTTTTATCTGTGACTATTCCAGGTTGAGTAATCTCTTCTAGTATCCCACTGCAAATATAAGCTGGAGATTTAAGTACATGTCTGCGCGCTCGCGCGTGTGTGTGGATGTGTGGAGGCCCGAAGCTTAAGTGATGTTGGGTTATGACTGCATGATTTGAAGGCTTAGAATTTAATTATATAGTCATAGATAAAGTACATGAAATAAGCTTTTGTGTAAAAATCTGTAAAAAAAGAAAATACATCTGATATCCACTAATAATAATTCATGAAGTTGATCTGATTTATGGTGTTTGCGCTTGATAGTGAGCGGCAAAAACTTTCCTCAAAACTCCATCGCCAGTCTTAGAATCTTCGCAGACTTCAGTGCAATCTCAATCCTAGCCAGAATTACCAATTCCTCCAATCTTGACTAAGTGAATATAAATGTACCAACCTTTAAGGGAATGTTTGAAAACCTTTTTAATTCATTTTTTGATTCTTGTTTTAGGTTCTGTTCTATCCCCATTTTTAACAATATTTTCCCCTCTTTTCGTTCGTTTAGTTCCTTATCTTTTTTGTCTTATTTCACTGCCCTTCATTTCCTCCACACATTTACATTTGCTGTTACGAATATTTTACATAAAAGTCTGATTCGTCTGAATATTCATTTTCTTTAATTTGCAATGCATTTTATAGTTATATAATTTCAAATTAGTTACCAATGTATTTTCATGATACATATATAAGCCCTATTCGTTAACGTCTAATTTCCAACCAGTGACTATATTTCTCCCTTATTTTCAAATCATTTCTCAAGTAAAAACGTTAATAATTAGTTCCTAACGTCATTTTATATACGAACTTGGTGACGTTGATTGCGGTGTGAATTTCCACATTTTATTCTTCTTGATTTTTAATCATTTTATCCCATGTAAGGCAATAAAGCCTCTAAGACGTAAGGGTTACTGAGTGTGAGAGAATATGAGAAAAATACACAATTACGAACAATAAGAAAAACAGGAATTAAGAAGGCAGGTGATAAAGATTATATTGCATTTAAATTTTTGAAAATCAAAGTTGACTAGAAAGAAAGAAGCCGGAAGAGAGTTCCAAAAGTGAGAAGTGCGATAGAAAAAAACTGTTAGCATAGAATTTACAGTGACATCTAGCCATTTCAACTGTAAAACAATGAGACCTTACCGTCAATCTTGTATTGCGCTTAAATTCATTAAGTCTATGTATCAGAAGTGAAAATCGATCAGAACACTTAACATGAAAATATTTATAGAAAAATTACATTACGACTGTGGGAAAGTGAGTGAAGACGAGATGCCAGGTTAGGACCAATAATATTACAGGTTCTTCTTTGTATTTCAACAAAAATCTCTAAATATATAGCAGAAGCACTAGACCATATGTGGCAGCAATATTCAATCCATGGACAAATGGTAGACTTATAAATGCGTAAGATAGATTCTGGAGAGAAAAATTGTCTAGCACGACATTGTGAACCAACTTTCTTAGCAACAAATCTAGCAACTGATTCGCTATAATCTTTCTACTTCATGCCGGCGGAAAACATTATTACGAGAAAGCACAATGTGTCACTTATCTGGAGGTTAGCATCAGCCATGCTGATGGAAGGCAGAAAAGATTATCTCATTAAAAGAGAACAGTTTCGTTTTGGAGGCGTTAAAATTAAGTCATTCCTTACTCAAAGTTAACAACAAATTCTAGGTTATTTTTTAAATAATCTTTCAAGTTGACCTTATCGAACTTATCAGTATTATCATCAAGAGAGAAGTAAATTGTCGTGTTATCAACATAGATGCCGAGTTGAGAACTGATGACATCAGGAAGATCACTGATGAAAATTAAGAACAATATATTCAGTATATTTTATGTAATATGAGAGATGCGCCTATTTAAGGACACTTTATATGTGTCCACAAAATAAACCCTGGCAATTAAACACGATGGTGGAAGTTTCATGATTTGTGGCTTGTTTTTCATATAGTTACATGGCTGTACTAATATATCTTCGAAGGAGCATTGGATATTCTATGTATCACGAAATACTGGAGAAGAAAATGTTTCCATCTGTGAAATTTCTAAACTTACAACGAGGTTGGATTTTTTAAGATAAGAATCCCAAGCAGACTGCAGTGAAAATGATAGAGTAGTTCCAGACGAAGAAAAAATGTTTTAAACTCGTTCCTACAATCAGTAAAAGGTACATTGGCAATTCAATAGAGCGAAAAAAAGGAATCTTCTTAAACCTATGCATAAACACGAGTAGAATAAAAGTGACGTTGATTTCTGGAAGCAGTTTAACTCAAATTATTCTAAATGTCAGTTAGTCACTATTAAATAACGAATCCCTGATTAAATATTGACCGTTATTTATCGATACGTTCAAAATGACATTTCTTTATTTCTCCTAAAAACATAGTATATCTTAAATATTTTCTATAGTTTTAGGCTAATAACAATAACAGAAATTCATTCTTTCTTTAGAAATGCTATATTCAATACTAGCAGCATGGCCCGGCGTTGCCCGTGCTTGATTCAAAAATCGTACGACTCATACAGCAATCGCTATCACTTGATTTAAAATATTTTTGCCCTTCCTTGCCTTTAAAGGAGTTCCCTTTGCCGTGCTGATGTTGCTACATGCCTTACTTCTTGCCTATCTCACACTGCAAATTTTTTCTAAGCTCTATACTAAACATTAAATCTGTTACGAAAAAAGAACTAAACAAAATGAACACAAAACGATCAGCTTTAAAAAAGGACTCGTACTGGAAAAACCGAATGAAAAAAGAATGTTAACAACAAATACTTTTCCACACCCAAGCCAGTTCTGCGGAATCAGAATCAACGTTGAGTTTAAGCAAGAGAATGAGCCAATTGGAGTAAAGTGCCATGCAGATTTAAATTCCCACTTGTGATGAATGCAGCTATCGATTTTTTTAAAATTGTTAGCATACTAGTTAACATTAGTGTCAGTCAGCTGTTGGCTCTCACGCTGGCCAATAGAATCTTCCTGCCTATTCGTGGCAGCCAGCTATAGGCTCTCACTCTGGCCAGTATAAAATAGCCGCAAACTACACGAAAACTGCCGTAGAAGCATGAAAAATCGATTATTTCCACAATCGATGGGAAATGCAAAGTCGGTTGTGGCGTTCCCGCTATCTTGGAGCATGTGCATGTAAATTTGGGTGCAGATCCGTCAAAAATTGCGGCCGTGCATTCGTTACGCACACACACACACATTCTGCCTTTTATAGATAGAGATTTTTATGTGTCACTGCAAGTTCAGCTGAAAGCAATTCAAAATGAAACCATTGATGATATTATTCGAATTTTATAAAGTCATTTATGCTATTTAGACATTTTACAGGAATATTCTGTTGGCGTTTACCTAACTGAAGAATTTAAGAAGCATAACAACAAATCTGGAAACAGCAACAGAAATCTGAAATGCTTTAATTCATCAACAGAAACCTCTTTAAATTCTCGTTGTTTCTCGTTGTTTATCGTATTTTTCTGTATCTTTGTTCGATAGTAATCTATTTTTTAAGTTAATATCTGGAAATATGCTATCACTTTGTCTGTATATTCATAAGTAAAGTTTGTTACTTGCAATAAATCATTTTTGTTGCGTCCAATCAGTTATTACTCCAACCGGTCAGCTAGTCTGGAAAAATAGCACAGAACTGTGTTTGCATCTTTATTCTTCTCCTAAATGAATTTTGGGCAAGATGGATTCAAGCTTAGTAAACAAGATAACATTTACATGGCTAGGCTTTTGCTGTAGAGGTGAAATATTTGTGTTAGAATTTTGTGTTTAGGTCCATGAAAAAGCGATGCTGATTTTAAAGTCATTCAAGCAAAATAAGATCCTCACACATTTTATTTGTTCCCGCATTAAACTTCTTCTCTATGTACTTTTTATGATAGTGAATATGGATTCACTATTTAAAAATTCAAGTTTATCAAGATTTAGTACCAAAAAGCCAGTTGTATATTCTTCTTCTTCAAATTTGTTCAATTGAAAAAAAAAAGAAATAGAATGAAGCTCACAGAACTTAGGCGTGACGCAAATAAAAGGTTTATTGATAAAATGTCAATAAAAATAAACACTAATGGAATCCAAAAGAGAATTCAAATATTTTGAGCACATAAGAAAAATGTTTAACGTCACCCCCATCAACCAGGTTACTGATATGGAACAAAGATGTAGATGGTCTAATGTAAATCATCCTTCTTACATATATCGCGACAATTCTACATGGTGTTCAGTAAAAAAGCGGAAAAATTTATTATCGCTATTTTATCTTTCAGGAATAATTGATCTTGAATATTGATGATCTTGAATAATCATTCGACTCTCGCGTAATTACCACTGATTGGTTCTTTTATGATTGATTAATTGGTGCTCGAACTTGTGACTTGTCATTTAAAAGTTATTTGAAGACAAAGTTCGTCTTTCGTTCTGCCCTTCTCGTATGGATAAACAACTCACTGATTTTGAACGTCAAGTTATCGTACTTTTCAAAGAACATCCGACGTGGTGATTGACGAAATGTGCAGAAATTCTTCTTGAATTTTTCAGTTACATCAGTCGTCACCAGCTGTCAACGGCTGTCTCGCATCTTTCTGAATTTGACGCTTTTTTACTGGGCACCCTGTAGATTTGCACCAACTTCAAGAATTCTTCCTCTTTCTTCTTTGGACACCAGCAAAACATGGAAATTAAACTCTTTATATTGACCTATATTATGTCTACCAATTTAAAACAAAAAGAAACCCCGCATATGTAGAGATGAACCTTTAACTTCTGGGAACAGGTGATAACCAAAGCCTTAAAAAGCAAGTCTATGCCACTACAGGGAAAAGTCATTCTATTTTTCGAGAACTGAAAATGACTCATATAATGTTTTCCATTAAATGAAGAAATAATAGAATTGTGAAATTTCTGTTGTTCTTCATGATTAGTTTCGTCTTTAAAGACTGATTAGTGATTATTCCTTTCTCCAGCGACTACATGAGTGGATTCGCCATTACATTCAATCATATATTAATGTAGCAAGAATATTTATTAACAGAAAACGACAGAGTCAACATGAATCAAAAAAATGTAATTATTATAAGACATAAACAATTATTTTTTTGCAATACGTCAAAAAATGATTAAAGATCAAATAAAATTGTTCAGTTAATCTAAGAAAAAAATATAAAATCATTGAAAATTTAACCTCTTATACACATAGAGGAATTACAGATGACAGTGACAGGTTGAAATGAGCAAAAGCGGTATCTGAAACTGCCTTATATATATATATATATATATATATATATATATATATATATATATATAGAACGTAGAAGAAAACACTCGCATATTTACAAACGTTTCACTAATGTCACCTAAATGTTATGTTATCTTTTTTAATTGTGCCCAAACAAACTTGTTATAAAATCCATCCGTTCGGAATCTTGCAGGAAAACGTCTCCATGTTTAATCTCTAAACTCTGCGAACCACGCTGTTCAAAATGCAATAGAAATTATATAATATGATTTCAGTCACCAAACTATGAACTCATGAATGTAAGTGTGGCTTCCTGATGCGTACGCGTGTTACCTTCTCTGGAAGTCTTGTGTTCTGTTTCCTGGATAGACAGCTTTTACTATTTGAAGTCTCCAGAAAGGGTGAAAAACTTAACAAAAAGTGTTCAAATTCAAAATTTCCTTGTCAGCAGCAAATATCTTTGAAGAGATATATCAGCCATAATTGTGTGATAAAAGAAATAAAGACTAGACTGCTAGTCCGAAAGAATAACTGTAGCCTTACTATATTAATTCTAATCCGAAATATATTTTGTTTATCCTTCATTTTCTTTGTTTTTAATCATTTATTTCTTCGTTTTGAAAGAACCAAAAATATCAAGAAAGAAGAAACTTTTCATCCGTCTTTCTATTCTTCAACGCTTCTGGTTTTACATCTATTTCCTTCTTGGTTGGAAATAAAGCAAAGAATAGAAAAAGAAAAAGAAAACGAAAGATCCTTTTCTTTTTTTCTTTCTCTATTCTTTTCCTTATTCTTTCATTCATCTATTCCTTCCTTTCTTCAAATAGTCATTCATTCATTAAATCCTTGCATTTTTCTATCCTGCTCTTTTTGTTTTTCTTTCTTTCGCTTCCATTTTTTCTTTCGATTTTTCTATTTTATTTCTTTTCCCGCCTTCTTTCCTTGTATTCTGTTTTCTCTGTTATTTTCTTCTTAATTTCTTTTCTTTTATATTTTTTCTTTCTTTGTTCCTTTTTTCTTTTTTCTTTTATTGCTATTTTTTACTTTTAATCTTTTTTCTTTATTTCGTTTTCTATTGTTTCTTTTTCCTTTTGTTCTTTTCTTTCTTTTTTCTTACACTTTCTTTACATTTTTATTTTATTGTTCTCTACTGCATTCTATACTGTCCTTCCTCCATAATTTTCATTCCTACTTTTATTTCATGTCTTTTCTTTCTTTCTTTCTTTCTTTCTTTCTTTCTTTCTTTCTTTCTTTCTTTCTTTCTTTTATTCACTTTCATTTGATTCCCTTTCATTGCTTTTTGTTTTCCCTTTTTCCTTTCCTCCAATCATTCTTTATCTCTTGCTCATTCATCCTATTTCCTTTCCAATGAATGCGAACACAACTATATGAAAAATTAATAAAAGACTAAAAATGCCAAAATAACAAAAACAAAACAAAACAAAACGAAACAAAAAAACAAAACAAAATAGAAGTAAAACCATCCAACAATCCTATAAGACTTGAGGCTCCATACCCCGACAATTTATTTTTCTGCCTTCAACTCCAGGAATGTCCCTCTCGACTACCCCACGCCCGTTCTCACTGCAGGGCATCTCAGAATTGCTCTTCTAATTTCTTTATTTCCTTGCTTGCTTTGCCTGTCTACAAGCGTTAACGAAATTTGACATTTGCTAGTTTATATATGCCTAATTAGCTATTACCGCTTGTCTTTTCCTTTTATCTTCCACTTTTTTAAACATTTTTCGGGTTTCCTATCTTGCCGGTGCGGCCAGCCTATTACAAACCTCTTTCTGTATTAATGCACGCCGATCGTCTAGTGGGCCAGGGTTATCTCCCCTTTACATCTTACAATAATTGTTTGCAAGATAGAATGCTTGCGAGGGTGTCTCTCTGTGGCGTAACAGTTAGCAAGCTAGACTTACAGGCCATTAATGGGGGCCTAATACATGTAACTTTGATCATGATATAGTCTATTATATATATATATATATATATATATATATATATATATATATATATATATATATATAAAAAGCTAGGAGCGTGTATATATAGCTAACAACCCTTCTTTTTATGTATGTTTCATTAAAATAACCAGCATTTTTTTTCTTTTTTCTTTTATGATTTAGTGCATACTTAATTTCCCATCGTGCTTATTGTGTTAAGCATTTTGCTTAATACTATAGTCATTCGAGGGTAATTGTCTGTGGTAACGAGTATTAATAATATATTTTGTTTTCTATAATGTGTTGTTTGAGTATTTTAGTAGTAATATATATATACATTGCCTAGATTCCAAATACGGTCAGACCAAATTGACTTCATCCGTATGCGCTGCTATTTCTTCTTTATGGAAAAGCTTTTAATATATATATATATATATATATATATATATATATGTGTGTGTGTGTGTGTGTGTGTGTGTGTGTGTGTATGTATGTATGTATGTATGTGTGTGTGTGTTCATGTGTGTGTGAAATTCGCGTAAATTATGAAATTTAGTTTTCACTTTTCCGTAAGCCTTTGACCAGGGTTGCGTTGTCGTTGTGGACAAGCGCAATTCTCAAGAAACTTTCGTATAATTTAATACGTAAACTTTCGCATATTTATTTGAGTATACTTCATTACAAAAGCTTAGTAATTAAGCACAGTTAAATTATACGAACCGAGTTATTGCCAACGTAAATTTTATCAGTAGTATTAATGCAGCTATCATTCATCAATTGCTTATTTCTGCTACTAGATTATTATACGCATTCTAAAACAGCGTACGTACGTGACACTCACCTCATGTAGACACATCCTGGTTCTTCTATCATACTAATACAATTGATTAGCTTGTAAAGAAAGCAGCAAACAAAATATTGTTGTGTACAGTTGTTTCGCAAGGAATCTTTGTAATTCGTTTCTTTCTATTTGAAAGAAAACACGTACTCAATGTTAAAATTTATTTAAATTTGTAGGCCCGTGTTTGAAGATTGTTTATTTTCTTCGTTTTCAAACTCCAAAACCGCTACAAATATATATTATATAAGCGTGAACAATGTAGTCAACACTGGGCGACGACAGTCTGTTTCATACTTGAGCACAATTAGACGACATGAAGTTTCCCTTCAAGCTTGAAAGAGATTGTCGCCGCTCGGTGTTGACCTCAGTGTCTACTTTTATATTTATATTCGAGTGCCAAAAATCCTGCGTGTATTCCTTTGCTTGTGTAAGTTTGAAAGCCGCCATGCTACATCTTGTTACATCTGAAAGTGTAATGAGAATTTTAAAATTGTATGCATGCTGCGTAAAATTACCTAAAGTTTTTCTATTCATGGTCCGTTAAATATGTGTTATAATATACCTGTTCTTCTTTATCATTAAGCAACTTGACGTTGTGAAGTGCCTTACGTGGCTTACGTCGTATAACTTGGAAAACTATGCTGACGGGATCTTCTCTCTTGGCAGATCCGACTTAGCCAGACAAGCCAAGGAGGAGGAGCCAGATATACCTTTACAGTTGTGTATTTTGGCAGCAATCCCTCTTTTATACAAGTTTTGT